ATGTTGACACATATACATATGCATTCCTTTCTCTCACATGTGTAGATATGTATACACCTACACAGAATAGGAATATAAATTTCCAGGCAAAAACTAAAGGAAAATGAAACAAAATAGAAATGTAGAAAGATTATAGCAGAGTAAGGAAGCTGCTTTTGCCCTGAGGGTAAAATCAAACTAATTGACTTTTTCTTTTTTACTTTGTTTGATGAAGGAGGCAAACATCAGAGCCCAGGCTCCCCACAAGGTAGGAGCTCTAATAGGGGACCCTCCAGAATTAGCAGGGCTCACTCAGGGTAGGGGTGAACCAGAGAAAACCAGCTGTGCAGATTCACTGCTGTGCTCCAGGCCCCTCCACCTGAACCTTGTAAAGGTGGTCCTAGAACAGGGACTCCTCCAGTCCCCTGTCAAAAGCCATCACAGCTCATCTCTAGAGAGAGGCACTTGCATCCTAGGCTTTCAATTATTCCTAAAAGTACATGTTCAGGCCACTGACCCCTCACTGTCCCCTCCTTGGCTGAAGTATTGCTCATCTGCAGCCTACACTTCATAATAGGCTTTTCATAAGTTGCCTTGACCCTAGCTTCTCCATCCAAGATAAGTTGAAAGATTATGCTCCCAAAATGCCTTAGTTGCTGTATTTATCATTTTCGTTTTGTTGTTTGATGGACTACCTTTACCAAAAGACCGTGAACCCCTCAAAGGCAGAGACCATACCTTCTTCATCCTGTGTTCCCAGCACTGAGGACAGAGCATGCATCCAACTGTGTGTATTCAATGAATGAACAAGCCCTTCCTGAAAGTGTGGAAACTGAAGGGGAGAGTTCCAGCGAGTGAATAAAGGCAGGTAACTCCTGAGATGTAAGGCCGTCACCTCTGCCTTGGCTTTCCAGGGCCACCTTGGTGTATCCCCAGGCCATAGGTCCCCAAACGTGGGGACAAGGAACAGAGGATGAGGAAATAGAACGTGGAAAATGGAGAGACCCAAGTGAGCACCAGCTGTCATGAAAACGAGAATGGGATCTATGCACAAAACACCTGCTTTGAGTCCTGCCTCACCTCGTACTAGTCATCTGGTTCAAGTCATTTAACCTCTGCACCCCAGGCTCCTCAGCTGTTACATCGAAGCAGTAATGATATCAATCCTGTTGCATACGGTTGTTTTTCAAAATGAGATGGTAGACTTGAAATTGCTTTGTAATTCAAAAAGAGCATGTAAACTAGCTTTTGCATTGAAGTTGTTGGTTATTATTACTAGTGGTATTTAAAAGGAGACCCAGAGAGAAAAGGAAGCACAGAAGTGAGGTTGAAGTGAAGAGAAGTTGAAGACAAAAATCACTCTAACAGAAGCAGATTCTCAACTGTCATAAAGGCACTGAAGCCCTTCATAGGTGAGAACTCGAGTTCTAGACTAGAAGGCGGAACCACATATTGGTTAAAATAAAGGCTTCAAAGTAAGGCCTGGCCTAGTAGGTTAAGATGAACAGGTGCCCCAGCAGATCGTCCATGTGAGTTAACACGAGGCCTTGCCATGAGGATCTCTGAGAATATTAATCACCAACAATCTTTCTCATCCCTTTGGTGCTGTACACATTATTCCACCCCCTCTCTTTTCCCCTGTGGCCCAGCCCCCTCCAACACCCACCTGCCTCACAGAGTCGCCTTACTAATCAGGTTGTCAGCAACCATCAGCTGGGTGGAGATGCTTACACCAATGGCAAAGAATGACATCTGATTGTGACATTTTCCCAGCCAACTTCTGTCTGGGGACCTGGCCTATATTCCCTTCTTGCAAGCTCTGAGCCCAGGAGAGTAGCTGTTATCTTCTCTGGGTGCCCAACTCCCACTGCCCACTGAAAGGATGGAACTAGTTATCCATCAAACTATACCCCATCTCTACTTTCTTGAAAAGATATTTCTCTGAACTTTGAGGTAGATTCAAAGAATTGGAAGTACAGACTGTCAGAGATAGTAAAGGTCCTTAGGGATGGTCTCATCCAGCTTCTTCATTTTATGGAGGAGGAAACAGAGGTCCCAAGAGGTGAAATGGCTTATTCAATGTTACAGAAAGAATTGTGGCAGAGCCGGGATAACAACAGAGGTGGGAGAAGCTGAGGGACAACAGGCATTTGTACTGTCGAGTTACACATTTTCATCATTTTATCCATGAAGAAACCCTTCTCTTGTTGCATTTTATTTTAGAACTATCAAATTCCAAATAATGAAAATCCCTTAATATTTTTCATTTAATATGATTGTCACTCTCTTACTCTCTAAGTTGCCTTTCAGATTCACTGACAAAACCCCTTCAACCAAGAAGAAGAAAACGGCTTCAGGTCTTGTGAACCTAATACACGCTAGGTGCCATGTTAGGCAGGTTTATGAGACAGGATCCCTCAGAATGGAGAGATCGTATAACTTGTCTGATATCAGAGGGTCAGGAAATGGACCTGTCAGACTCAAAAGCTCCTGTTGCTCCCCCCATACCTGCCAGGCAATTTATATCAGTTATTTCATTGCTCAGAAAAGAGAAGCATCACATGCACAGTGACTACTGCAGCGCCCAGAACATAGTAGGCCCTCAATCAATAAAGGGCGATGCCCTCTGCCCTTCCCCTGTAGGAGTCAAGAATAAATTTGAGTCATTTTTCTTCTGGATATTTAATAATATCCATATATAACATTCATATATAACATATGCATAATATATTATGAGATACAAAAATTTAGGTGTATATAGCTACTTTTGTATTGATTGTTTATGGGAAGTATTATGAAGTCTATCTCTATGCACTAATATTAACCTACCATTGTCAATTTTTGCATAGGCATTTTCTGGAAGAGAAAACATCATTGAAAAATATCGCACACTGGGAAGTGGAGTTTGAATTCTATTCAGCAGGTTTTCCTATTCGGTGAAAATTGTGCAGAAGCAGACTCAGCCTAGATCCCAGCAGAGAGCACCTCAGCCTGTCCAAGGAAACTCTTCCCAGCCTTCCAGGGGTTTGGCTCCACGTTCTGGGCTTGCCATTCTCTTTAAATAGCTCATAGAATGTCCTAGATGAATATTGTAGAGGGACCAGGAGTCAGGAAATCTGGATTTTTTTTTTTACATAAGAAAGGACATATTATGATTCTTTAAGTTATAAAAGAAACAGGCTAGGGTAGAACTTTTAATTAGCCTAAAACAGCCGTGGGCAAACTACGGCCCGCGGGCCGGATCCAGCCCATTTGAAATGAATAAAACTTAAAAAAAAAAAAAAGACCGTACCCTTTTATGTAATGATGTTTACTTTGAATTTATATTAGTTCACACAAACACTCCATCCATGCTTTTGTTCCGGCCCTCCGGTCCAGTTTAAGAACCCATTGTGGCCCTCGAGTCAAAAAGTTTGCCCACCCCTGACCTAAAACCTGCTGAAATAGAATACTCAGAAGGTCACTTTTATAACCATCAGTTTTAGACATAAGCGTGTCAGCATTGTGCAGCTGTGTGAAGGTGCCCGTCCTGGGAGACAAAAGCCACCTAACGCTGATGCTTGAAGGCACCTTACTCATAGTACAGCCCAAACTGTGAGAACTAGATCCAGAGACAAGTTACACACAACAACATAACAGAGCTAGGAGAGAACCAGGTAAACGAATGCTACTGGGCAGTTGTTTTAGATTATTCTTTCTATGCGACTGGGCTGCAAGTTCATGGGATTGGATTGGCGGGCGGGGGGGAGGGGGTGGCAGAGGGGGGAGCACGGGGGCCGGGGCAGGCAGAGTCTGATTTGTGGAGCCACAGGCGATTGAGAGTTCAAAGGCAGCATAGCAGTCAAGATGACTTTCTGCTATGTCCCAGGGTGACTGAACAGAGCTTGCTGAGAGGGAAACACGAGATTGCCTGCTCTTATTTATCTGTTTGTTTATGAATCTGCCAAAAATGTTGTCTCCTGTGCTCATGCCCCAAGCCTTATGGGGTTGCTTTGAATAGCAGTTGTTGACCTACCTATATTTTTAATGTGTGTGTTTACAGTTTCCGGCTATAAAAATCCACCCCAAAGCCTCTGGAGCAGGGGTGGGGAACATCCGGCCCGCGGGCTGTTTAAGGCCCTCGAAATCATTTGGTCTGGCCCTGCCAAGGCATGAGGGGTGAGTTCATTAAATGTTTGCTCAAATATAGCAGGCTAATTTTTAAGTTGATAATTTTGTATGGCCTGTCAATGATGCTATAAATATCCAAATGGCCCTTGGCAGGAAAAAAGGTTCCCCACCCCTGCTCTAGAGTTAGCAAGCAAGAAAGAAAGAAGATCATGCTACTGAGGAAGGGTGACTGGCCTTGGGACTCAGATGCTTGTCCCACGAGGCTCACCTTCCTCTTGGAGGCTTCTCACCACCAAGGCTGCCTCACCAGGGCTGACATGGGGAATGCCTACCTATTTCAGGGAGTCCTACCTGGCCTCTTCCCTCAGGCCTTTACCCTTGGGCCTCAGGAGGGCAAACCTATCAGATGAGAAAATGTAACCCATACAGCCACCACGGGTTCAAGCCACTCGCACAGTAGCAGGGGTATCGTCCAGTGATCCTCCTGAACAGATCTGATTTTGCATTTCCTTCAACATCCAGGAAGATGAATTTTGAGTTTACTTACATTCAGAGAACATGCTACCATGAAGACCTCATCAAGGCCAAACTCTCTCCTCAGACTAATTAGAGGGCAGGCAACCTTCAACCTTTAACTCTTCCACCTTCAAATTTCCACCCTCAGATCCTGCTGACTTGCAGAGGGAAGTTCATCTGAGCATTCTAGAAAGTATAGGGGTCCCACATGGGATCGCACCAGCTTGATCTGCTTGGTCATATCCCCGTGAACCTGTCCGCTAGTTGAAAAGCAAGAGGAAGAAAGGAAGGAGGAAGAGTTTCTAGTGGAAAAACATGAACCAAATAAACAAACAGGAAGTCACCGAATTGCATCCAAAGTTTTATTCTTGCCAAAGTTTGGGGGTTGCGCTAACTCTGGCAGGCTGCCTTGATAAAGAAGCCAAGTGTGGAGGTGAAGCAATGAAGTTCTACATCACTGGGAAGACAGAGAGCAGGCAGGGCTGGTGAAGGTTCAGCAGGTAAAGCAGGCATTGAGTTTGGGAGCAGAGCTGTGTTTCTGTATTTAACAGCAGCAGTCATCGTCGTGATGACAGCACGCAGGACCTTCTGACCTCATGGGAATAATTCCCAAACAGCAGATCCCAGAGCAGCACCCAGAGCAGCAGCACCCGGAGCTGCAGCACCCAGAATCCTCACAGCAGCCAGAATCCTCACAGCAGCCAGATGATCCTGAGTTGCAGTTTTGAGGCCGTTGGACCCACCGTCTGAGGGGGCTCACCCCGAAGGTCCGGGGAGCCAGGCAGCAGTAGCTGGTGGAACAGGGAGCAGAGCATGGATCAGGGACACAGTACGAGGCGCCCGAGCCACTTGCAGAAGACTGAATGTAGTAGCGCTGGGAAGAAGGGTACTGGACATAGTATGTCTGGGTCTGGTAGGGAGTCGGGTATTTCACGTAGGTCGTCTGGCACGGAGCTGGGCACTTCACGTACGTCTGGCAGGGAGCTGGGCATTTTACATAGGTTGTCTGGCATGGAGCTGGACACTGCACATACGTCTGGCAGGGAGCTGCACATTTCACATAGGTTGTCTGGCATGGAGCTGGGCATTTCACGCAGGTTTGAGTTGTGCATGGAGCTGGGCATTTCACGCAGGTTTTAGTTGTGCATGGAGCTGGGCATTTCACAGTGGTAACTTGGGAACTTTGTGCAACCCCCAATCCTGAACCTTTCACACAAGATGGAGGGAACTGCACCTGCTTCTGCTGGTCACACATTTTTCTGTGCTTTGCAAAATCTGAAAAGAAAGGTTTAGTCAGAACTAGGAAGATGTCCAGGGGCACCTGCAGCATCCCCTTTGGATAGAGTGGTCTGTGAGGAGTAGCCTTTCAAGAAGGTCATGGGCACCCAGAAGCTGTCAACCTGGCGTTCAGGTGGACATGCTACCTTAGGCTCAGCTCTTGTTCTTTCCTCTGGCCGTGTGACTTTGGATAAGGCACCCCTCATCGCTGGGCCTCAGTTTCCACAATGGAAAATGAAGGGCTTGCAAGAGTGATGTCTGCATTTCTGCCCAACTCTCTAAGCCTCCTCTCCCCTTACTCACTGTAGTGTCTGCATTATGAATGCTTCTTGGGAAATTGTTGTTTCCACCGAGTTTACCTTGCCATCAATTCATTCAAGAGTGGCTTTCCAATGTCACCCCAGTAAAATTTAATTAAAAAAAAAAAGAATGGCTTTCCTTCCTCCTGTCCAGCCAGGCAGACACAGGGAAGGCAATTTCATGTCAATAGACCCAAAGCCAACAGGAGTCTCAAGCTGAGCCTGACAGAGTCTAACAAGGCCAAATTTGAGTAAGTTTCCACCATTTTCTCTTTGGATCAGCTCGACTGTCACTTTACCTCATTAATGAATCCAAGAGAGGACGGCACAACTACATTCAGCAAGAGAAGGTGACCCAGTTCACTGAAAAGCCCTTTTTCCATAGGCCTAATGGCTCAGTTCACACCTCTACCTCTCCTCCAACCCTCCAGCCTCCTTTTCTACCAGCTACTGCCCTCAGCTTTCTTCAGCAGTGGCCCTCCATGCCTAGTCCTGACCACCCTCCTCCAGAGTTTTCCATGCCAACTGCATCACGGCTCTCTTTCGTTCTGTTGTTATCCCAGGTACAGAGACTTACCCTCTGCTGACAGGAACACGATTGGAAGAAGCCAGTGATCTGAGGAGCTGGCAGTCGGAGAGACCTTTTATAGGGTAGTAGTGAGGCAATTTAATGGTATCTGAATGAAGCACCAGCAATCATGAGGACAAGGGCCAGCATTGCATTGGTGAGATTCCTCCCACTATGTCTAGCTCTTCAGTCACAGGCAGAGCATGTCTCTGCTTGACATTGAATTTACCTAAACATGAGATAAATGATTCTTGTTGCCTTCTTCGTTAGACAAGTCAGTCTTCTTTTTCTACAAGTTAGGAGAGATGCTGATGAGATCTGTCCCCATGAAGTTGTTTCTAGGTCACTGGAGTCTTCAAGGACTTGTTAAGATGTGATCAGTGGCTCAATTTTTCACACTAGCTGTGCCAAGAGCTACTCTGCATTTGCCCAGACTAAATGAAGTGTTCTTTCTGAGGACTTTGATGGTAGTTCCTGCTGGTCTGGGTTACTGCACATGAAGAGTTTTGCTCAGTGGTCTCTGCCTCAATATGGTAGCAAGGCCTTCAAGAAATGCTTTGTTCCATGGACTGACAGGTTATTCTATGTTTATTTGGGAAACAAGGTGAATTCTTGATGATCCCAAACTCCAGGATCTATATCTAGGCTGTCTTTCCCCACCTTCTCATGCCCTATGATTTGCCTCATTCTCATCTCTCTTAACCTCATTACTATGCCTAGATCCCCAAGAGCCCAGCACAGGGGGAATTCCAGCCAAAGGAACACCATACGATAACAATAATAGTAGAATATAACATTTAGTTGAATTCTCTTTATGTGCCAAACAGTTCATGAGACACATACACTTACAGAGGCCGTGTTGCTGAGGCCCTGAAAGACTAAGGAAGTTACCCATTGTCACAAGCAAATAAGTAGAGAAGCTAGCATTTAAATGTAGGCAGCAGTTTGCCTTCATAAGCCATGATTTTTAGCACTACAATACATTACCTTTTATTTCTGGATATAGCTTTGTCCCTGAATCTCTGCCTCCTTTTCTTTCCCCAGTGCAGTGTATGTAGGAAGAGAGGTAGAAATAATATATATTTAGAACTTACTATGTACTAAATACCGTCCTACTGCTTTATCTGTGTTACTTCATTTGATCTTCATAATAACCCTGTGGTGTAGGCTATGTTAATCCTAGTTTTACAGAAAAGGAATCTAAGACCCAAAGGCTTAACTATTCCACCAAGGACATCTCGTTGGTAGGGAAGGGGGTATCATTGAACCCAAGCTTGTCTACTTTAAGAGCCCACACTCTTCCCACCAAGCCATGTTGAATTGCCCAGTGTGGAAGGTTAGCTTGCTCCTGAGCCTAGCACTGGTTCCAAATACTCATGCCCTCAGATCAGCCTGCCCAGGCCCCACCATGATCCCTGTGGCCTTTCAGGTGAAAGATGCTTCTGCATTTCTCCATAATGGATCCCCAAACTCTCCAAGACCCATAAGCCTTAAGGCTCTAAAATTTCCTAAATAAGAAGGAAAAAACACAACAACACAAACCCCTACTACTTCTTAGGCACTTCTCACTCCAACCCAGGTCTTTCAAGGTCTGTCCCTGAATAGTTTGGAAGAGGCAAGAATAGGAGATTCTGCCCCAGACTTGGGAAGTTTCCTATTTCCTCCTGCCATTTGTGCTTCTGGTAGGCTTGTAACACTCCATAGCTTCCTCTGAGAAGCCCACCAATCCCTCTCCCCAAGGGGATGGTGTAGTGGGGAGGAGTGTGGTTTCAGGCCATTCCAGTACCTGCTCATCTAAGTGGCCCACATCAGTTAATACCTAGGCCTGGTGTTTTATGGAGGAAATGGAAAAGGGGTGATCTTTTATTGTGGCTGGACACTTCACATGGGATAGCTTATCAAATTTAGTCCCCTTAAGAGTGTCTCAAATAAATAAGTAAACAAACAAATGTGCGCAAGCTCACATAACTAGAAGTGGTGGATTCAGAATTTGAAACCAGGTATAAGAGACTTAAAATTTACTGTCTTTTCCACCATAACATGCCGCTTCTAGTGTTAAAATCCACAATGTTTTAGGAACTATACCTTTCAGCACCTAACAGACACAGTTAAGAAGCCCACTACCTTACACATAGGATGGGCAGCCCCACTTTACAGGGAAGAAAATGGCCTAGAAGGCCGGTATTTTAGGGCATGTCAACGAAACCAGAGAGAGCGTTCAAGGCACAAATGGAACTAAGCCCTTGTCCTGATTCTGCCACTGCCTCACGAAGTGATTCCACTGTGGCCTGCAGTCTCTCCCACTCACTTATTAAATTTCTTGGGATAACTCTGGTTAATAATATTATATAATTTTAAATGTACAAGATTATAATTCAACATCTGTGTACTCTAATGTGTGTTCCCCATCCAAATTTTAGTCTTCTTTCATCACCATATATTTGACCCCCTTTACCCACTTTGCCCACCCCCTGTCCCTCTTCCTCTCTGGTAGACACCATCCTAATGTCTGTACTATGAGTTTGTTTTATTAGTCCCTTTGTTACTTTTTTTTTCATAGTCCCCATATGAGTGAAATAATATGGTTTTTGTCTTTTTCCATCACTTATTCCACTTAGCATAATACTCTTGAGATCCACAATGTTGTCATAAATGGCAGTATTTGATCTTTTTTATAACTGAGTAGTGGTCCATTATATTTACATATATATCTTATCCATCCACTCTAAAATAAAGAGTTAGATGAGGCCCCTTCTGGGATAATCTATGATTGTGGAAGTCTAATCTACAAAGGAAATGTACATTTCCACATTCTAGTCATCCATGGAGTTATTCCCACTAGACTATAATTCCATGCATTGGCAACTATGGACATGTTCACTGTGTATCACCTGGCTCTAGCACAGGACCTGGGAGCCATTCACTAGACAAACAGAGAAATGAAATAGATGCATGAATGGGGATGTTTACACTGATGGTAGAACCTAGACCACCTTCCTTACCCAATGTGGTGAGAGCCCATTCTGCTGTTAGCCAATCTGTGTGTCCTGCGTCATCTGTGAGCTCTGATTGGATCACTTCCTGCTCTGCGTGGTCAGGCTCTCACTAATGGGTTTGACATCTTCAAGATGCCGCTTCCATGTGCCACCAAAACAGGTGGGTGGGTTGTGTCCCACCCATTTTACAGGCTGACATTTTACAGACTGAGAAGGCAAGGCATGGTGAAACCAGGGTGAATCACAGGGCTATCTTCAAACATATCTTTGGACACAAGCTCATAAAATCAGAGACTTGCGGACTCATGCAATAGTAGTTTAGTAGACTCACGGGTTAAGAGAATTAGGAATTCACAGAATCAGAATCCTGGCATCTCTGAGGTACAGGGGACTAACACACGTCATTGGTCTGGCCCCTGCCAGGAGAGACAGGTCATCTGACCTAATGGGCTATTCTTCTTAAGATTTTCTGGTCTTTAAAAATTCTCTATAGTCCCTCTGGTTAGCTCATTTCAGGACTTACTACCATCTTCATAGTCAGGAACTGTCTACTAGAGTATCTCTAAGGTTCCTTAGAGACTCAGCATCCACAAATCCTGACATTAATTACATGTTTGAAGCTGTGCTCCTCAGTGCACAAACCGAACCAAGATTTTAACTCAATGGTACCACCAGCCCCAATCAGGAGGTCAGAGCGGGAGTTGCCCAAGTTGGCCTGTTGCTCCCTGAGGGCAGAGCCTGGGGCTCCTCTCATCCTGGGAGCTTCCTTTGACCAGGGTCTAGAGATGTTCTGAGGGCAAAATCTGGGTCGTGTGTGTGTGTGTGTGTGTGTGTGTGTGTGTGTGTGTGTGAAAAAGAAGTGGAAGGAATTAAGAAGCCACACACCTAGATGAGAGAGAGAGAGAGAGAGAGAGGACACAGGAACATTGTATCCAGTAAGAAATGTCACTTCTGTGTCTGAGACTAGAAGATAGTGCAGAGGCCCCTCCCTCAGAGCCCGTGTCCATGTGTGTCTCTCTTCTGGGCTCAGCTCTGACACTTGCCCCAGAACCCCTGCACCATTATTTCAGAGACAATCAAGGATTTCTCCTAGATTATCAAGATATCATATTGG